GCACCTACTGCTGCTAACATGCTCAAATATTTACCTGTAAAAGATAAAGTACGTGATAAATTGCCCATGCACATATCAGCTGTATGACATGCTAGTTCTGCAAGAGCTTTTTACATAAAAATGTTCCCCAGGATTAGTTCCTCATAAAATGGTGATAAAAACCTTAACAGTTCAAAATCTGTAGTAGATGTAGAGGTGACATGTATATATCTTTATGAATTTTTTTTCTTTCCATTTTTCTCAATTATTATTTAAGCTGCAAAATTCTCTATTGACCTCTATTTCTGGACTGCATTCTGAAACACAAATCTGTATGATAATTTCCTGAACAAAAGAATTTCTTTCTGGAAATGAAGTTTTTACATTGCAGTCTTGTAGTGATTGTGAACTCGAAGGTATTTTCATGAACCTTAAACCTTCTTAGTTTTTACCATAGTAACTAGAAGCTTGACCATCTGAATTCAACAACTGCTTTTTTGGTGCTTGTGCATACTGAGATTCAATGCTGATGTGTTCATTGATATTAATTCCAAGTTAAAATCAGTGACAGGATTGAATGAGAATACTGACAGAAACAGGATATTGGTTGTGTCCAGGAAGGAAACTGAGAGAAGGACATGGAATTGTAAGTTCTCAGCATGCTGTACTTCTAGTGTTGGAATTGCAATCCATACTTCAGATGGTGAAGACAAATTTTTTTGCGCCATGTTGAAGACTAGTGAAACAGTGCAGCAAGGTTATTGTTCACATCACTGTTCATGTCCAGTTCAGTTTCATTAAGTTGCTGAGAAGTTTCTTTGTTGATTTTCAAATGTGATCTTCTTGTATCTTTGATGTTAAGTGTTTCATCTCAGTTTATGGCTTTACTTTAATTCTATCCATGTAACATGCTTCTTGTTTTGGGGTTTATGTATTATTATTCGAAGGTATTAGGTGAATGTAAAAGACTAGTACATACAAAACAAGTCTGTATTGATGAAAAACGTCTGGAAATCAATGGAAAAACCTGAGCATCATCTTTAGCTCAGTTTATGTTATTTTCTTCTTCTTATTGCATGCTTCTCAAGATTATCTCTTGAGTTTTATGGTGATTTGAATCAGTTTTACTAACTGATCCTACAAGTCAAATGCCTGATACGGTTTGATAATATACTCCAGTTGTTGGCTTCCTGCACTTGCTCAGTTTCGAATGACCAAAAATCATGTAATGAATGTTGATTTTTTTTTTTTTCTTTTGTTTTTTGGTTTTTTTCTTTCTTTCGTTTTTTGGTTTTTTTCACAAATAAATGGAGAGAAAATCTGGAAGGAGCCGAAGAGCAGAATATTATAAACTAAAATGGAGAGGAGTATAATACTCCAACTCAGATTTCTCATTAACAAACACTGCTTTATATAGCAAAAACAATCTAAAAACAATTCAAAAAACTTCTTATTTTGTCTAAGCAACTTTTTTACATTAAAAAAGCAACAATTAAAGTACATCTAAAACAAGTAAAAGATAACCGCTTTTGCTGCATGCTTGCTGTGATTTTGTAGCCACTTTGCACTCTTTCATTTGCATTTGCATTTCATTTACTGTTCATTGCCGCTTCATTTCATCAACATTTGCAGTTTTGCTTACTGTACATTTTTGCTGTCATTTGACAACTTCATTTCCATCATATTTGCATCTAAATTGCAGCCATATTTGCTATCAAATTGCAGCTTCATTTGCTGTCAATTTTCAGCCTCATTGCTGCCATTTCATGACAGTTTCATTTCATCATTTTGCAGGTTTGAATGCCACGTTTCTAATAATGTTTCCAACAATTAAAAGTTCGGTTAATTTTGATGACATCCTCCAGGTTGTGAAACTGCTGTGCCTTTGATGGTGGATCATGGATTCCTCCGTTCTTGTGTACAGATTCGAGGAAAACTTTGAATAACAGCCTCAATGTAGTAAGCAGCTTCTCCTATTTCTGAAACCCAATTCCGAACACTCTCGTCTCTATCATGCCTCTTGTCTACATCTTTTAGAAAGCACTGCATCAGTCTTAAGCTCAGTTTGCATCCGCTGGAGTCAATCCAGCATGCTCCACAACAGTATGGCTTCCTCAATCAGGAGGATACACAAACCTTTCCATAGGAAAGGGTACCACAGCCACTTCTTGGATCAAATTCTAGTGAGTTTTAAGCACTGTTGTGAGTCATCTTTTTTATCAAAAAAAACAAAAAATTTAGGTTCTAAGCCCCTTGGTGAGAAGTCAATAATTTTTGTTCAGTGTAGGTAACTTGCAGTGAAAATTCCATCTGCATCATTTTCCTTCCCCTCTAGTATGAATGCAAGTTGTTATGATGTTGATGGGCAAGAAATCTCCAAGAAACTAACCTGCACTAAGAGAAAAGCTAGAGACTTTCATGACTCCTCAGCAAAACACAACTAGCAAGGACCTCAGAAACTCCTCTACGCCAAGAAGATAACAGCTGTATCCAATATGGGCTGAAGAAGTCAGATTCAGTAACTTCGAGAAATCGAAGAAATCAAAAGTCAAAACCAACATGAGATAAAGAAATCAAATCAGTGAGCCACTGAGATGAGCTATGACTGTATCCAATGAGATGCGGAATTGTTCTCCCTCACCTTCCTTGATGATCTCTCTTCAAAATTTCTTAAAATTTCTTAAGAAAACATCAGTTGAAGCAAAATCCCGAGTAAGGGGAAGAAAAGCAAAATCTGCTACCATTAGGAGACAAACTTCAGCACTTCCAGAGGAACTATGTCGTTAATTTTCACTTGCTGAGCTCCAAGCTGCCACAAACAACTTTCATGATGATTTAATAAGATGTCAACTTGGTTTTGGCAAAGTATACGAAGGGCTTCTTCATGACGGAACCCTAACTGTTGCTGTCAAACCCTATGGAGCTGAAGAGTTCAGAACTGAGTTGCAGTTGCTCAGCCAGCTGCGCCACCAAAATCTCGTGCGTCTATTCGGCTTTTGTAAACAGAAAGACGAGAGGATGCTCGTGTATGAATATCTGAACAATGAAGCACTGCGTGATCATCTTCATAAGGGAGGTGATCCACTTCCATGGAAGCAGAGGCTAGAAATATGCATTGGAGCAGCACGTGGATTACATTACCTTCACACAGGTGCGAAGTATACCGTAATCCACCGTAATGTGAAGAGTTCCAATATTATTCTGGACGAGAACTGGGCAGCTAAGCTTGCTAATTTTGGGGTATCCAAGATGGTTCCTCCTAGCACGTCAAAGCCAAAGGTTTTGACAAAGACAAACTCAAGGGTTGCAGGTACTTTTGGTTATATGGCTCCAAAATATATGATGAATGGGGAACTCAGTGAAAAATACGACGCATTCTCATTTGGTGTTGTTCTGTTTGAAGTATTGTGTGGTAGATCGGCATATAAGCACATCATAATAGAAGGGAATGTGGTTTCCTGGATCTGTAAATGCATCAAAGCTGGCAGTATTCATGATATCATTGATCCATATCTGAAAGGGAAGATAGCACCAGTGTGTTTGATAGAATTCCTGGAGATTGCATTCAGTTGCATTCATCCAAAGGCCAATGAACGGCCAACAATGGGAGAAGTAGAGGTGACATTAGAGCTAGCGTTGGAGTGCAGGAGAGAGCTGACTCTGTTATGAAGGCTGTCAATCCTCATGCTGACTACGCTTATGAAGAAGTTCCCTTCCATGTCTCCCTTAGAGATTATAATGAATACCTATATGAGGCAGACATTAATGAAGATAGCTTCTCAGCTGCAGATGAGGTAAAATTACTTATTCTCATTTCTAGGACAATAAGGGCAGACAATTACAACTTCAATAATCAAGGTTATGTTATCATTCCTAGCATCTACTACAAGCACTTTTTCTCTTATAAAATTTTCTAACCAGCTATCATGTCTACTTGTAATTCTTCACAATCAATGTAATGCCTTACAGACACATACAACTTCTCCAATCTTGCAAATAGTTTAAAAGAAAATTTTAATCATTTACTTCTACCGAACAATTCGTGGCTGCTCGGATTTGAATCAAATACTCGTAGAAGATTACAAAAACATCGACATAATAGTCTTGACATTATTCCAAAAATTTAACAAGTTAATGATATACCCGCTATTATATGTAAGAGATTACAATGTTTATCATAAAGAAACACCACAAAATCTAGCTCAAAATATTGAAAGAATCTTAGCCGGATTCAAAGCTCTTCTGAAAAAAGAGTAGAAATTCAGAACAGCAGGTATTACTGTAAAGTTTGATTTTCTAAAATGATATAAGAAATTGCTGCAAGAAGAGCAGACTTTTTCTGAATTTGGAGATCGAAAGGAAATAATCTGTCGTGCTCATCTGGCGAAGTCATTAGCAGGTATAATAAATCCTCAGCCAGCTTTAAACCCGGCTCTAAATCACAAAACGAAAGAACCAAAGCTGTCTGTCCAGCTGTACTTGACCATACCTATGCATCTTTTGCACACAAGCGCTCTGAATTGAAAATGAAGATATTATTAGGCTGTGGTCAGCTTTTAAGAACAAGAATAAACGAAAGATTACAGCAAATCACACATTCAGAAAGTGTGAGAGACAAGATGAGGCAGGCCCAAAAAGAACCATAGAACTAAAGCACGATGCACTATATGCAGCGAAAGATAAGGTGAGAGTATAAGGATTGAAAAAGTTAAATGTCCATAGTCAAAATATAAAAAATTTGCACCCTAACTTCTCAGGCACAAAATATATTATAGGAAGCTCAAATGCTTTTCATCGGTTGAAAAGTATAATAAGAGGGGTGAGAGGGGATAGCAGGATGCGTTTCACCAACCACTATACTAAGAATAGTGATGCTTACACAAAGGCTTATCAATTCTCTCTTATTTAAATGCTAAAATGCTACATAAAACATCCTAGATTTTCATTATCATTCAGAATGCCTGACTGGAACACCATTTGTACGATTTTCATTCTGACATCTAAGTTCACAACGCCTTGACTGGAACACCATTTGCAGCTTTGCACTACTTTCTAAGGAGTATCTGAAGGTAACCTATAGAAGCTTCATATGTCAGCAAAATACTTCTAGCTCCTATCAAGTCAGATAGCTTATGCAGCCAATCCTAATTGTCAGTCTCCACAGCATACATGTTTTAGTAGCCACTTAACAACCAGCATGGCCAGGATATTATGCACCTTTACTTTTCAGTCTATAGCAGCATTAAGTGAATTTTGAGATTCAGCAGTTATAAATGATGGTGTCTCAACTAACAAGACTAGAAAGAGAGTTGAAGAGTAGCAATGGACCAGTGAATCAAAACAAATAAACCCATTGATACTAGAAACATGGATCCCCATAATGTAGAAACAATATCATTTATATAGTAGCTCACAAGCTAACTGGTCAAAGAAAAAATGACCAGTAGTAGACTAGTAGACTAGTCACTAGTAGCAATAGTTGTAATAGTTTTGGAAAAGTTATGGAACACTGCTACTTGTACAATGGTCAAGCATTGGCCTGAATATATTAAGTGCCATTTTAGCTTTGTCTCTCATCATTTACAGTAAAAATAGACAAAATTCTAAATTATAAATAATGAAAGTATCCTTACTCAAATATTCATAGTCTAATATCATTGACGTTCCCTATGCTGACATGCTGAAAAATCTTGGACCTAACCCTCTGTATAAACCTTTCCAACCATCATCTGCAATTAGGGTTTTTACTACTTGCGTTGTAGAGGGTTGTTTTAGCCTTTTAGTCTAAAGGGGAGCTAAAACTACATTGTTTTGACCCATTATTCCAGTAAAAAATGTTGACTGGCCTGACAAGTGTTGATGCACACATCAGACATGTGGCAGGCGACACGCCACGTTCTCACCAAGCCATTGGCTTTTGAATCCAATAGCTTGGATCTATTTATTTTTTCAAAAAATTTTTAATTCAAATCTTTTATTTAAATTGTGTAAAATATGGATAAAATGAAATAATAATTATGTGATTATTTAGAAAGTTTTTTGTGAAAATATGCTTTGGAGGGAAGTCGTTGGATTAATTGTTCTATTTAAGAATTAAATATATAAAAATATAAATTTATGTATAATAATATTAATTATAATGATGTAGTATCTAAATAAATTTTTTAATTATTCCCATTTTACGTGCTCTTAGTTTCTTTGATTTCTGTTTTTCCGCGTTAACAATTTCAAAATCATAAATGATCCTGAAATCACTAAATTTTGTCTTTGAAGTCCTTTTCCTAGATAGATAGTTTTCATGTTGGTCCCTGCTAGTTGCTTAAAGTCAAGGAAATGGCAATTTGTCAAGTCGTTCCTGCACATACCCATACGTAACGTCTTGCGCGTTCATACTAGAGGGTAAGGAAAATTATGTGATGAAATTTTAGAGCATCTTATTAAGTCTATCTTTCTTTTCATGTTTATTTCTTTCGTTTGGTTTGAAAGCTACAGGAATGCATTTTTCAGTCGGTTGCCTTGTTGATGAGGTTAAGAGACAATGTTCTTGACATTAAATTGCCTTGTCTGTCAACATTATAACAACTTTAATTCATATTATTGGAAATTAATAAATTAAATGAAAATGGCTTTTGCTAAAAAAAAAAAATGCAATTTCTACTAATTTACTTATATTACTGACATAGTTTAGTGTGCAAAATTTTTATTAATTTTAATAAAAAATAATAAAAAGTAAAATTAAAATTAAAATTGAGTAATCATAGTCAATAAAATAATTTTATGATAGATTATGTAAATTATTATATCAATAATTACGATTTTTGATATAAAGAAAAATGGTTAAAAAAAGTTAAAATAGTATATGATAAAAGTTTCAGTTTTTTCGATAGAAAAAAAAATTTATCATTCATACAAAATTAGTTTTATCTTAAAATTAATTTGAAGAAATAAAAATTTAAAAAACATATAATTGAAAATTAATTTGATTAAATAAAGTGAAATTACTATTAAAATATTAATAAATTAGATTAAATTAAAATCAAACTATAACATAAAATGGTGATAGAAACCTTAACAGTTCAAAATCGGTAGTAGATGTAGAGGTGACATGTATATATCTTTAGGAATTTTTTTTTCTTTCCATTTTTCTCAATTGTTATTTCAGCTGCAAAATGCTCCATTGACCTCTATATCTGGACTGCATTCTGAAACACATAAATCTGTATGATAATTTCCTGAACAAAAGAATTTCTTCTGGAAATGAAGTTTTTACATTGTAGTCTTGTAGTGATTATGAACTTGAAAGCATTTTCATGAACCTAGAACCTTCTTACCTTTTACCATATTAACTAGAAGCTTGACTATCTGAATTCAACAACTGCTTTTTTGGTGCTTGTGCATACTGAGATTCGATGCTGATGTGTTTATTGATATTAATTCCAAGTTAAAATCAGTGATAAGATTGAATGAGAGTACCGACAGAAACAAGGATATTAGTTGCGTCCAGGAAGGAAACTGAGAGAAGGACATGGAATTGTAAGTTCTCAGCATGCTGTACTAGTTTTGGAATTGCAATCCTCACTTCGGATGGTGAAGACAAATTTTTTTTCGCCATGTTGAAGACTAATAGAACAGTGTAGCAAGGTTACTGTTTATGTGCACTATTCATATCCAGTTCAGTTTCATTAAGTTGCTGAGAAGTTTCTTTGTTGATTTTCAAATGTGATCTTCTTGTATCTTTGATATTAAGTGTTTCATCTCAATGTAAGGCTTTACTTTAATTGTATCCATGTAACATGCTCCTTGTTTTGGGATTTATGTATTATTATTAGAAGGAAGTAGGTGAATGTAAAAGACTAGTACATACAAAACAAGTCTGTTTTGATGAGAAACGTCTGTTCTCCCAGCAGGTTTGCTTATGTTCAATCATTATTGAATTTTAAAACGCTGTCATTCACAAGAGACCGTCTGCTTTGTGTATATTCAGAAGTGCGTTACATGATAACAAACTTCAGATTTCCTATTTTACATTGGTGTAGGTCAACTAGCCCCCTTGTTCTCAGCTCCTCTGAACTTACTAATATGTTCGCATAATTTACATCCAACTTTTTATTTCCCTTTTTGATACATCAAAACTTAAACTACTTAGCATTGAAGAGTCTTTGAACCCCTGATCTTGACCACAAGTCAAGGTCTCATAGGCTACATTTAGTGAGGATCTATTCAACTAAACTCTTATTGGTGCATTAGCATCCTATTTTAACCATATGGACTATGGTCTTTTGACAATATGCTTTTCTGAGGCCTTCGTCCTTAGCTTGCTTCTTTTTGAATTAGTAATGTGCAGAATCAGTGACTTCTATGCTAAGAGATCATAGATTTAGAAAATTCTTTCCTTTCCATATATGTACTCCCCTTTTTGGTCCCCTACTTATGATGTAACATTAGAATGTAAAACTTATTCGTATTTCCCATTTATGGTCAAGAAACCATTAATAAGAGAAGGAACTTGGAAGGCAAGGGAACTTGCACTATGATTTGTTTTTGATTAAACCTTTCCACGTACATGTGGATTGAGGATGATGAAAATCATGAAACAAGAATCCAATTTGCTCATGACTTCCAATTTCCAATTAAGAAGCCTTTCTCCAATTTCAAGGTACAAATGGTATTCTATTAATTTTATTCCTAAACAATTAATCAATTTAACCAGTTTCTTAGAAATGATATTTTGAATGAATTGAATCAAGTTTTGAACTGGTACAGGTAGGTTCAACTGATTTAATGTAGCAGGCTAGAAGTTTTCTGCATGCTAATGGGAACGATCACCCACCAACTGCTGTTGAACTAGACAAGTCATTACCAGGGACTTGTTATTCAATCAAAGTCCTTCCAAGGTAAATCTGAACTTGCAAGTTATGGTTTTTCTTTTTCCATCATTCTCATAGTCATAGACCAAGTTCCTTCTTTTTACTTCTGGATGAGAACCCGTATATTTTGCAACTTGGCATAGCTTAGAAATTTTAAACATGCTACCAGTACCATATAATCATATCCATATATTTCCATATGCACTAATAGCACATGGAATGATACAAACAAAGAGTTTATATTTTGGTGATTATTTGAATATCCAATCATCAAGTAGTCTTTTTGGCCCAGAAAAAACAAAAAGAAAAAGAAGAAAACTTATCAAGTGGTTTTCCATGTGTTCCCATCAGATAGTTTGAAGTAGGCCCCATTACTGTCCAAGTGCAGCTATATAGAAAAGCTAGAAAACCTTGGATGACCTTGGCTTGAGAGCCAAACCGGAAAATCTCTTTGGGAAGAAATCAAAGGATTTGAAATGCAATATATCTCCGTTTAAGAAGGGTTAGAAGTTAAAGCATGTCAAACTTGGCTGCTAAACATAGGCACTAGAAGTATGTAATTTCTAGACAGTCCGAAATGCTAGTTAAGAAGTTTATGCACTGGATTCTCTTAACATTGTTAGATGCATTTTCAAATTTCTGTTAATTATTGCTCAAAGAGCTGCCAAGTTTGGCTTTTCTAATTGAGTAGTACTACGTGTTCAGAATGATTTATGTTCATTTTGTCAAATTAACATGACAAAATACCCATTGAGTTCCTTATTCAAATTTGATATTGCTTTGCTCTCTATTTGTCTCTCCCCTGCATCTGTCTGCATCCTCAACAATTTCTAATTCCTTTTTTGCTCCCCTGGTCCAGGATGTTGCATTAGCTTCTGTTTAAATGAGGCAAATACCTTTTGCATCAGTTTTGGAAGAGCTTTCCCTTTCTGAAATGAAATATGGATCTGTGATGCGGTTTTATATAGAAACTCTTCAAGACAACGCCATTCCCATCACACTGCAGGAAAGCATGATAAACTCAAGCCCTCCAGTGAAGGTATTCTGTCTCAAAGGTGCAGACCACTCACCATTTTTCTCAAAGCCTCAATCCCTACACAAATTATTGGTAGAGATTTCAAAGATCCCTTCAACTTGAAAGAATCTAGTCTTACAAGAATTTCAATTACATGTTGAACCTTAGACATCATAGGTCTCATGTATCAGAGAATGAATTTGTTCATATATTTTTCAGGTAATTGTTGAGTCTCTTTTGTAATGTGTCTTTTCTATATCCACCAATCCACGAATCAAATGCTGATAGATAAGTATTAGGGATGAAAAAAAAAATGGTCTAAAATTCCACAGGGAGAAACATGGAGTGAAGGTTTATAATTTTTATACGGGATGCATTTTTTAAAGGTTTTTCTAATTTAAAAGGCATGAGTTTATAAAGTAATAAATAATTTTTTATAAATTTATATTAAAAATAAAATAAAAATTAATATTAACATTGGGAAAGTTTATAATTTATTTATTCATAATTCATACACTCACTGTTTGAGAAAAATAAGTTTTTTAATTAATTAAATTATAGAGTTTTCATCTTAAAAGGAACTAACTAACAAACTTGTTAAATTATAACTCTATTTAAGTCTTAAGAGCATGTCCAACGCTGCTCTAATAATTTGTTATTTTGCAAAAATAGAGCAGAGGCCAAACACATCAGTACTGGAGCAAAGAGGAGAATAGAGCCAGTCTTCCTGTACAGTCGGTACAGAGACTGGCTCTATTATATTATGTAGCCCATTTAGGGGCCAAAACGGCGTCATATTAATAACAAAAGCATATTAATTACAAGATGTTTGAACCTTAAATCAATTGAAAAAAGTTCAAAACATATTAATTACAAAAACATATGAACTAACTAACCACACTTAATATCAAATAAAATTATGAAACAATTAAAAACTAGATAAAAATATGAAAAATCAAATAAAGAATATGAAAAACCTTTTGTCATGACAAATAAAATCTAAAGCTTTTGACAAACTAACCCTAAACCCTGTAAAATTGAAGTTTGAGACTTTTGAATGCGGTTTACAATATTACACACAAAATAAGTAAATTAACAGCAAGGCAGAGTATTGAGGATTTGATAACACCATTTAATTTTGAATTTTGAATGGAATGTTGATTATCCTTTGATTTGATTTAATTGCACCAATCTCTTCATCAATAAAAATTAATATTGATTTTACAGAGAGACTCCCCATCCCAAACACATGTCTTTCAATTTATGATTCGGCAATTGAGACCGCTCCTCCATCGGAGACCAATTCTGCATCCGAGACCGATCCTGTATCTGAATCTCCACTATAACGGTAGCCTTGCCAGTAGCTGTTTTCTTCAACAGAAACACGAAATGATAGATCTTCGTAGGCATAGACAGCATGTGGATTGTCAGCCTTGATAACCAAGTCGGCTTTCTCCTGCAGCTCCAATGCACGTTCTAAGGTTACCTCAACTTCTCCCATTGAAGGCCGTTCATTTGGATTTTCATATACACAACTGAGAGCGATCTCCACGAATTCTATCAGACACACTGGCGCTATCTTCCCATTCAAAAATGGATCGATCATATCATGAACGCAGCCGTTTTTTATGCATTTAATGATGCCGGGAATCATATTCGATTCTTCTGTTATGAGGTCAAAGTTCTTTCTTCCACACAATACTTTCAACAGAACAATACCTAGCGAGTACACATCAATTTTTTCACTGAATTCACCTTTGATCGCATACTCTGGAGCCATATATCCGCTTGTACCACAAATCCTTGACTCCGTTTTTGTCAAACTGCCGGGCTTAGGCTTTGAGATGCTAGAGGGACCAATCCTGGAAATCCAAAAATCTGAAAGCTTAGCCTCCCAATTTTCGTCCAAAAGAATAGTAGAAGGCTTGACATCGCGGTGAATTATTGCATACTTTGCACCTGTGTGAAGGTAGTGTAATCCACGCGCTGCCCCAATGCATATCTCTAGTCTCCGCTTCCATGGGAGGGGATCATCATTCTTAAAAAGATGACCATGCAATGCCCCATGGGTCACATATTCATACACAAGGATGCTCTCACCCTTCTCGTGACAAAACCCGAGGAGAGAGACAAGATTCTGGTGGCGCAGCTGGAAGAGTAACTCTCCCTCAATTCGGAACACTTCAACTGCTTGTCTCGATGTTCTAGAGAAACGTTTGACAGCGACAACCAAAGAGCCGCCATCAATGAGGCCCTTGTATACTGGGCCAAAACCAAAACCACCTTCATCGATTTTCAAATCATGATGAAAATTGTTGGTGGCAGCTTTGAGCTCAGCTAGTGAAAATTGACGACATAGTCCCTCTGAAAGTGCTGAAGGTTTTATTCCCCTTTCTTTAACTGATGTTTGCTTGAGAAATTTGAAGAAATTTTGAAGAGACATTGAGTTTTGGGTTTCTTTTTGATAAATGTAGCAGGGATGGAGGGCAAATCTGCATCGCATTTGTATTATGTCGTCTTAATCTCCTTTTATTTCAAAGTTACTGAATCTGAAATCGCAAACTTTTGTCTTCTACCTACATTAAACATAGAGCTAATTTCCGAGTAGGTAGGTCCCTGCTAGTTGCTTTCTTGTTGATAAGTCAAGGAAATGGAGGTTTCTATCTTTCTTCTGTCTTACTATTTGGTATGAAAGCAAATTTTCGATGCACATACTACATGGGAATCCGTGTTGGGTCATCCCAATCCGTCTTTTCCCCCAACTACTACTTTTATGTCAATGCTTGCCAGCTTCTTAGAAGATGCCCTCGCAGTCAAAGTAAAAACCGATGGCATTGATATTGGAAGAAATATAATAAAACCTGAAGATGGAAGGACTCAAGTGCAGTTTGCTTTGTGAAAGATAGGTAATTGAAGGCTTACATTTCTCCTTTGGCTTTGTGAAATGCATGGAGTTTTTGTTATTTTTGTGAAATTTTGAATGCTTCCTTATTAATTGTTCAGAAAATATGAGGGTTTTTGCTATTTTGTTAGCTTGTACCTGTCTGTCTTCACTCAAGAAGCAAAGGCATATTTTATGGCTGATGCTGTGGTATCCTTTCTTGTGGTGAGGTTGGGTAACCTCCTGATTAAAGAAACCACACTCTTATGGAGTGTACGGGATCAGGTCCAACAGATGCAAGCCGAGCTAAACGGATACAGTGATTTCTAAAAGATGCTGACAAGAGGCAAGATGAGCATGCCAGTGTTCGGAATTGGGTTTCAGGGATAAGAGATGCTACTTATGACATTGAGGATGTTATTGACAGTTTTGTGCTTAAATTTGCACCTCGAAATGGAAGAAGAATCCATAATCCTATCACCAAAGGCATAGCACTTCACAACCTTGCCTCAAAAATTGACAAGATTAAATCTCAAATAATTGATCTCACCAGAAGCTTACAAACTTATGGAATAACTGCAAGAAAAGAAGAAGGAACTAGCTTAGCATTTGAGAGGCAGAGGTAGCTCAGGTGGTCTTATTCCCATGTCGTTGAAGAGTTTATTGTTGGGTTTGATGAAGATATGAGGCAACTTATAACACAGCTGGTGAATGAAGAGAAATGCAGAGTTGTGTCTATCTGTGGTATAGGTGGTCTGGGAAAGACTACCATGGCAAAGGCTGTTTATCATCATGGTGATATAAGGAGACATTTTGAAGGGTTTGCTTGGGCATATGTGTCTCAGCAGTGCAAAAGAAGAGATGTTTGGGAGGGGATTTTGCT